CAATGAATCCTTTCCCTCCTATCAGATGCTTCTCTTTGTAACGAGGCCACACTTCAGGACATTATGATTATAATGTATTATTCTTATTCATTTTCTCTCTCTTTTATTTAAAGTGGACCTATCATGCTATATTATAATAATATAGTGTAGGACCATACCTATATAAGGCATATTTATACTTTTTTCTTTTCAAAATACCAAACAGATCATGCATTTTATCCATGCCTCATTTCGCTCAATTTGCACTAATGTTAGCTCTGCTCTGCAAGGGCAGATTCATGTGAGAACAGCACCATCTACAGGCCTGGCATATGTACTACAGCGTCTCCAGCGCTTTCGAACGGCAATGGCCGTGGCTGTCTCCTCCTGATTGGTGGAGTTGGCCCAATAGCCGTAGCGCCACCGTCCTGACGTCAGGACAGTGTTCAAATCTGGATCAGTTTTTATCAGATCCGTTGCAGCCCCTTTTTTAGAGATTTGGGTATGGAGGAAAATAGAGAGGGTTGTGTTTTCTGACACTTGGTGAGTTCCCTGGAACACCGGGGACACATATTCATGTAGACAAGACGTACAAAAGTGCATTTTGCATGATAGGTCCCCTTTAAGTAATTGTTATGTAAGCTGAGATAAACATAGATATCTTTCTACATGATTCAAGTCAGATGATTGCCCCCATGGAGAGATGTATGTTATATGCGCAGTAACTACTCTGCACACATTAGAGTACGTATGCAGGTCTATGTTGTATGTGTGTGTTATGTCTGAATGTTTACAAAAATGACGATAAAAAGAGTATTCAAAAAAGGAAATGAGGAATCTGAAATGTGGATAAAAAGGGGTTAACCCTCCAGATGGAAACCCCTCAGTGTTTAAAGGGTTAGGGGACATCTTTCAGAGAGGAGCCAAACCACAGATCCTGAGACATGGAGGAACAGCGTCACAGAGTGAAGGACTGGAGCCTCGGATCACTCTGTTCTCAAAGTGGGGGGGGGGGGGGGGGGGCACTTTTTTTACACACACACACACACACACACACACACACACACACACACACACACACACACACACACACACACACACACACACACACACACACACACACACACACACACACACACACACACACACACACACACACACACACACACACACACACACACACACACACACACACACACACACACACACACACACACACACACACACACACACACACACACAAGTTTGCGGAGATATTTATTTACACATCAAACAGTGGCCGTTATAAGAAAAAGAAAACAACATGTTTACAGTTTATTTACATCACCTGAAAGGCATTATGAAAAAACTGTACATTGAAATCTGAAAAGAACAACGAACAGAAAAATCTAAATGACTTCACAGGAAAATATAAAACAGAATGATGATGAAACTTAAATAAAATGAATATATGGAACTTATTTACGGGGAAGATATCACATTAATATAATTTCCTCTGCAGCTTTTCATCAATAATGTGGAGTGAGGGGGCGCCAAGACCACCTGCTGAGGATTCTGGGTAAATACACTGACTATAAACACAATATTGCACTTTTATTTGACGTATTGTGGAGTGTAGAAGAGTGGACATGAGTTCAAATAAAGGTAGAACGATGTTTATATTCAACGCAGCTCATAGTTGCTTTGTTGAGTTAAAACTGATGATCATTGAAACTGAGAAACACTCAATTTTCTCAGTTAAATTCTGTTTAAATCTGAATTAAATTGCAGTGTTTTTGAGCTGAAACCCTGTAGCTCTAATTTTGGTCGTTTCTGCAAGACATTTTGAATATTTTCTGGATTGGAGAAACCTCAAAATCCTTTGATACTAAACTAAAAATTGCAAAAACCGGCTGTTGAAACCCAATAATAAAACACTTGTAAAGCCTCCAAACTCACACATGTGTTAAAACATATGATAAATAAGTGTTTTAATACATTGGTTTTTGCTTGTCAATGTAGATTAAAGAACATTTGACCTGTTTATTCACGTTAACACATATTATCCTGGTAAATTACTCAATAATGTGCACAGAAAAAGTGCTAATTAATCTGTCTTGCCTTCTCCGATGTATTATATTTAATAAGTAGAGCGTTGGTCCAGAGGAGGTGATTTGATAGATTTTCTAATAAAAATGAGCCAAAATGAACCAGAAAGTCTTGTTTGTTATCAAGGACTTCATTACATGTGAACGAAAACTGCTATTTTGGGGTATTTAACTAGCATGTAGCATGTGTTTAATATGTAGCATGTGTTTAATATGTGTGTTTAACTGATCATGTTTCATTCCAGAATCTGACTTGACCTTTTATTTTTTATGTTACTAACACTTTGTCCATGTTTCATTTTGACTTCCCTTCGAAGAGGTTGTGAGTTGAGTTTCTTTAGTTTTCTGAAGAAGCACAGTTTGAACCTTGAGGTAAAAACACGAATGGCCTTCATTCGATCTGTTGAACAATAGAGTTTTACCTTAAATATAACACTGATTTAATCTTTGACATGTTTACTGGCTGTTTGTGTAAAACAACATGTTATTAATGGAGTTATTTAGTGTAACAGTGGTACGGTGCAGAAAAACATGACCGTTTAACCCCAGAGGAGATTTCTGATATTTGTACGTTTTTTTTTAATGCATACAATTTAATTATTATTTTTTAAGGTTTTTTTTTTAATGAATTTATTTTTAAGGTTTATTATTTTTTTTAAATGAATTCTTTTTAAATCCATTTTTTTTTTTTAATCCAAATGTTTTTTAATCCATTTTATTTTGAAATTTTTTTTTTTGTTTTTAAATTGAATTATTTTTTAAAGTTTTTTTTTTATCCAAATTTTTTAAAAGTTTTTTTTTTGTTTTTAAATTGAATTTATTTTGAAGGGTTTATTTTGTTTAAATCCCACAAAAAAAATCGGTTTACATTTTTTTTTTTGACATCACCCTTTCACCTCAGCTCTTTAATTCGTATGTTTGTTTTTTATTTGCACTCAACAACAGTTATACCTTGTAATAGGTATCTTTTTAGTAGTAGTTTACAATAAATCTGCTATTTCTAATTAATGTATTATTTGCTGTCATTCTTCTTTCTGGATTGTTTTGAAAATAAAATAATAAATAACTGAAATTAACAGAAAATAAAAGCAGCAACTAGTTTCACTTAAAAAAAAGGGGGAAGAACTTTTAAAATATATTTATATATAAATATAAAAGCTGCTTGGTCCGTGTTTAAGGCTCACTTGCTGCTGGGAAAATGGAAAGTGTGTGTGTGTGTGTGTGTGTGTGTGTGTGTGTGTGTGTGTGTGTGTGTCACAGAGAGGTAATGGAGGTCACATACATCATAGTTTGTGTAACTTAAAGGAGTGTTAAAACAAAGATGGAGGTGATGTAAAGCACTTCAACAGTACGATTATAATCCAGAACTTGGAGCACGGAGTAACCATGGCGATGCGTTTCTGTTATTAATTATTTTGAATGACACCACGGCCTCGTTAAGGTGCGTTCACACCGAATCAGAAACACTCATTTGTGTTTACTCACGTCACTCAAAATGGACGTGCTGTAAAGGAGGCGGGGCTTAATCTCCATGTAGATACCAACAACAACAACAACATGAAGATATTTGACTGTGTATTAATATTAATACACGTATCAAAATGAAGCCGAATTAACTGCATACTAGTTAGCAAATAGCATGAATTGATGCTTTGGAGAGTGTTTCCTCAAGCTAGACTAAGCTAACATAGTAGCTGCTTGGTCCACACTTCTGAACAGACGTGAGGAACTGTGAGCTCTGCGTGCTAACAGCTAACGGCTAATGTCTTGTTTTCTTAATCAATAACGTAAGGCGGGGATTCTCAATGCTGATTGGCTGATTGGATCCGCCCAAAAGAATAGCTTCCTGCCCGGTGTGAACGCACCATATGGATGTTTATTATTATAAATGAATGGGTTTATTTATCTGTTAACCAGCTACTTGTTTCATCTTAAAAAACAATTGAACTGCAGCTATTATATTTGTTGGAAAAATCTATTAATCCTAAATACTGCTGGTTCCAACCTGTCAAATGTGAATATTTAGTTGGTTTTCTTATTTATTTAGTTAGTTCGTTTTTTGGGGGTTTTTTGGTTGAAAAAATTGTTAGATTTTTTTTGGAGTCTCATTCACAGAGCGATGAATGGAGACGTCTAAAACCAAAACTGAATTCTCAATATTAAATAAGAAAAACAGTAGAAATATCACATTCAAGAAGCTGGATTCAGAGACCAATACTACCAGTGGTTGAGTTATGGTGTATTCTGGTGTTTAAAGTACATATCTGACAGGCAATTAAGTAAAAATACAAGTTGTTCAGTCACATAAACGTCTGGGATTCCACAGACGATGGAAAAGAAAGACTCAAAAAGCTTCATAGAGTAAGAGCTGAAAGCACTGACGCACGGTTTATCATCTGATCTCGGTGGTTCAATCTCCACAGAGGAAACAGAGAGGCACTGAATGCCCCGTTACTTAGTTCGCGCTGCATATATAAAGTGCTCTGAGGGGAAATCTGGATCCTTCGGCGACACGCTCCTGCCAGATTTTCATGGATGATTAAATGCTCATACTAGTGTTTTGTTTAGCCTCTAGTGGATATCGATCCCCGCCGACGATGTCCTGTTTTTAAAACTCAAAAACAGCTAAACACTTGCATTGTTAAACACCATCAAAGAGTGAATTTCCCCCTCAAACAGTTTGATTTTAAAGTATTTAGCACACTTATTGAAGCCATGGGATAATACATTTGAACAATCACAGCCTGCGTTCTGCTGCATCTGATCTAACGACATGTCTATTATGTGATTCCTTATTATCGACTACATTGCACACAATTTCTCCAACTTTTTTATCCCATATGCAGTTTGTTTTTGTTGCCTACAGAAGCAAGGAGGCTAATTTAGCAGCTATGTAGCGACCGCCATGCTAACGGGCAGATTTGTATATATATATTTTAAATAGATCCAGAGTTCAAGCCTCAAAATGCAGCAAATTAATACTGGTGTGAAATAAAAATAAACCTACATTAATAGTTTAACCACAGAGGTTATTATTCAAGCCTTTTAGAAAATCATTAGCACCGAAAAATGTGAGAATTAGCCGGGGGCGACGCTAGTGGTGATCGAGAATCTCCACAAATCCAACGAGTTTCCCCCGAAATAAGACAGAGTTTTATCTCAGAGTCAGTTTTTAATTACCCAGCAACAGCAGGCTGGTAGATTAGAGACACTGCTGCCGGGAAAAGCTCCTCCGAAATCTGAAATACTGACTCACGGCTGAAGTTTGGGGAATAAACCACGACACAGATCTCACTTCCTGCGTCTCCTGACGACTCAAACTGTCTGAGAGTTCAGCTCCAGGTGCGTCAGGGTTTTATCTCCCAGAGTTCCCAGCTCCCGCCCCTCGGTTAGTTTGAAGAAACGATGGTTAGCATGACGGTGGCTAGTGTTAGCTCCTCAGAGCCGGGCTGCTGTTCCTGTCCGTCTCTCTGTTCCAGTCCTTCATCAGCGCAGCGAACACCTGAGAGGAGACGGAGGGAGGACGTTTAAAATGACTCCCTCTCTTATCATGAAAGCTACACTTCTTAGTGGCATCTGAGGACTTACTTTAAAGGTCACCTAGTATGCAAAATCCACTTCTTCATGTATCTTCTACATCAACATGTGTCCCCTCTTCTTCATGTCTCTTCTACATCAACATGTGTCCCCTCTTCTTCATGTCTCTTCTACATCAACATGTGTCCCCTCTTCTTCATGTCTCTTCTTCATCAACATGCGTCCCCTCTTCTTCATGTCTCTTCTACATCAACATGTGTCCCCTCTGTGGAAAGAGACTCTCTCTTTCCACAGAGGGGACACATGTCTCAAAGATTCTCTCTCTTTTTGATCCATTTCTATAAAAACCTGTCTGAAAATGAGCTGATCAGATTTTGGCCACTTGATGATGTCATAACGATGTGTTGTCTTGTGTAACTATTAGCCAATCAGCAACCAAGGTAACCCCCCCCCCACCTTATCACCTGAATCTCCTCCTAGAGCACCTTTGTGTTCTTTGTAACCAAATGTCTCTCAGAGGGGCGTGGGGAGGGGCTCCTTATTTTCATCTAAAGTAGCAGACAGAGAATCAGCACTTTGGAAACAGGGCTGAAACAGAGGGGATTATGGGTAATGCTGCAATGATCTGTTTGGTGTTTCAGCCAATCAGAGACAGGCTCTGGATATATCTGAGACCTGTGATATATTGATGAAGAACAGTATAATAGGGGACCTTTAATTTCCTCTATTGATCTTTTTTGGCATGTATTGTTACTTTGCAACATCATTAGAATACATATGTTATGTATTAAAAACTCATTTAGGTCGTAGACTTCTCAGACAATCAATTTAGCATGACTCCTTGGACTAAAAGTCTTAAGCTACAGGAAAAATATATCGTCTGGTGTCTGGTGCCGTGCAATGTTTTTGGTTTTCTGTTTTTGTATCTTGTACGGCGACCTTGAGAGCCTTGAAATGCGCCTATATAAATAAAATGCATTTTAAATAATAATAATGCTGGCAAAAAAATGTAATCTTTGTCAGTTTTCAAATATAATTCAAACGAAATATATAATAATAATAATCAGTGGGGACTCGTCATTAGGGGCACAGCCCCACCTAGTGTCAGCAGAAAGTAATGCAAATAATTCCAAAAATTCCAAAATGTTAAAATATATTTTAAGATCATGTTTAGTCTTCTGATTCGTCTGTACATTGCTGTTTTAGTCTGCGTTCTTCTAATTAGTGTCTACAGTGTGCCTATTGAGCGATGTGGGACAAGCCCCTCTCTCTGCTGTCAAAGTGAATGGGTGCTGTAAAAACTACACTGCGCATGCTCAGAGTCTTTTTCTATTCAATGTGTGCGGCAAAGAAATAATCACCAGTGGGGCACTGTGCTGACATACCCACCAAACGTCATCTCATAATTCAGAGAGCTGATTGGCTGTAAGTATGTGTGCCGCGAAAATATTAGATGTGAAGAGGAGACGAGAGAGAGCAGCGTCTAGCCATTACAATCAGTAAAACGGAACGAAAATGAATGAAGTTGACGTCTACTTCAAAAGTTCATGTTATGTGGCTATTGCTCTGCTGGATCGATTGATATTGTGACCTCTGTGATGAGTGTCTGTGTTTTCCTTATACCCCCCCCCTCTCCACTTTTGTACATATAAAAACGCCACTGATAATAATGATCCATGAGCAGTTTTTGTACCTGAAAATTATATGAAACAACAATTACTATCCCTTTTTCACATGTAAAGATAATTCATAATAATCCTAGGACACATTGTTTTCCCATCAGGGTTTCACGTATATAAATATAAAGATTAAGGAACTTGTTTTTTACCTATTCTTAATTTAAAAAGGAGATAAAGAAATCCCTCAGACTTTGGAAATGAATACCCAGAACTACTTT